TTCCAATGGGAACAAATGCTGGCCCAGAAATCTCCAATCTAACGCTCTATTGGGATGAAGCATGCTTTATTGATGACATTCATCAACATGATCCCCAAGCTGCTCAGCGATACGCCTTCACTTACCGCCTCATTGATGATGTTCTTTCATGGGGGCAATTACCTCCTCCTTCAGAGCACTATGGGCTTGAGTGGAAGGAAACTACGACTACAGATGACTCGTGTACCTTTTTAGGTATGCATCTACGAGTACGTTCTGATGGTTCGCTTCGCATGAGCGTGTTTGATAAAGCGGCTGCTTGGGATTTCCCTGTTATTAGCTATCCAAGTGCTACCTCCAACATCCCTTCCTATCAACCGGCAGATGTGTTCACTGGGCAATTGACCAGATTTGAACGCATCTGCAATAATTGGCATGACTTCCGAACTGCAGCGACAACACTCGCTCGTCGCCTGCTTTCTCGTGGCCATTCCCCACCAACCCTCGCTAAAGGATGGACCTGCTACACACGCTCCCGCCAACGTCGCTATCCTACACATGTCACCCGTCTCTCTCAGTGGTTCCGACGCATGCTGCGATGGTCCTTGCATCACCCACTTTCTTCTTTATCCCTACATCGCGCTCGTCCTGTCACTGCTTGTTCATCTGCTGCTAATGCAGTTCCCACTGTTGCGGTTCCCACCACCGCCGCTTCCACCGCTGTAGTCTCCAATGCTGCAGTTTCTACTGCTGCTGTTTCAACTCCGGGTTTCACTCCAGCAGTTTCTGCTACGGAAGTTGCCTCCGCTGCTCGTCCTGTCACTGCTTGTTCATCTGCTGCTAATGCAGTTCCCACTGTGGCGGTTCCTACCGCCGCCGCTTCCACCGTTGTGGTCTCCACTGCTGCAGTTTCTACTGCTGCTGCCGCTGTGGTCTCCATTGCTGCAGTTTCTACTGCTGCTGTTTCAACTCCGGGTTTCACTCCAGCAGTTTCTGCTACGGAAGTTGCCTCCGCTGCGGTCCCTGCTACGAAAGTTGCCTCTGCTGCGGTTCCTACTACAACACTTGTCTCTGYTGCGGTTCCACTTTTTACCACTTCCTCTACTTCTGTACCTCAAATTTCTCATGCTATAGTTTTTACTGGTATAGCTTCCTCTACCCCAGCCCGACACTCGCGTCCTATGTTCCGACATCTTGCCGAATCCACCCCCCTTTCATCCCTTTCTGTGCTTGGCCGCAGACGGCTGCGTTCCTCCTCGCCGCCCCCATCTCCTCCACGGTCTCGTTTGAGAACCGATTCTCCGGTTTCTATTCTTCCCATTGTTCCGCCCTCATTGCCAGTGACATCTTCTGTTAGAAACATCGCCACTCCTCTTATTGTGTATCATCGTCGACGACATGCACAACATCGCCACTTGGCCAGGGATCAGCGGCCTGCTTCTTTGTCTACCCCAATTCTCTCTGTGCCTCCTTCACGGGTTGTTGCGGTTCCGTTGTCCCAAA